CTTGTAAAATCAATATATTGTGCCTCCTAGTTTGTTGTCATGCCTAAAGGCACTTTATAATACAAAAAAAAATTATTAATTAAAATCTACTAAACAAAGTTGAAATTCGAGCATCGATTGACTTTCTACCGAGTTAAAGTTAATTGGAATCCACCAACCACAATTCTGCCTTAATAAAAAGATTTACCAACTACTACAACATAGACCCAATAATGTTCATGCATTCAATGACCAAACAACAAACCGTTTTCGTTGGACAACACACAAACCCACATGAAATCACACACATTTGTCATTATATGCTCCCTTGGTTATAAAAAAATAAAGAATGATAGTTTAACCATCTATTTATTTTGCGTCAATGTGGACCCCAATTAATTAATAAAGACATCATAACAATTTTGAGTACACTCCTTGCTCTTTATATGCTTTTTATGGGTATTTCGAACCTATTATAAAATTAAACAAAGCAAGAAACATCTCTCATCTAAGTTGCATCAAATTCACACACTACACCAAGAAAAAATAACCAAAAAATAAAAATAACTTGAAGAGTAACAATGGAAAACTTTCTAGAAAGCCATAATTGGTTGTTGCATCAGTCCATAAAACCCAATCTGTCACTACCACAATTGCACAAAACAATCACCCCAATCCATTTCACCAGTGCATCACCACTAAGACATTTATTCATATGTATCCCAGGTCACACATTCGGTCATCATTGGTATGATCACAATACCAGTTGGCACTAAACGGTCCCCAAACTATTATTTTCAACATACAACTAAACTTGAATTTCTAGACATATGGTCCCTCAAAAACTGACTAAACATTATAAGAAAAAAATTCAATTAAACAATTAGAAAAATTTTCATAAAATCGTGAAACCGTCTGAATTGCATTAAGTAAAATTAAATTGAAATTAATGAAGCCAAGACCAAATTACTACCAGAAAAGCAATCAACAAAACCAAGGCCAAATGGTCTTTCTTTACACCTTCAATTTGAAAAGCCAACAAATAACGAAACCCATTGCATTTCAAAAAGAAGAAATATACCAAAGAAAGAGAGAGAGAATGACTAAGCACCAAAGTAAAGAGCCAATTGACTAAAAATAATATCATCGTGAAATAGGGGAACCAAGTTTTTTTTGAAACAAAGGAGCAACTCAAATCATTGCATGTCATTAAAGTACCTATGCAAAAAAAAAACAATTGTTGCATGCAGTGCATCAGCAGACTTCAAGCAATATGAGGGCATTATCTAACACACAAAAAAAATTGAACACTGATCTTGGAAGTTAAATAGTTCAAGCATTATTTTATTTTTTTTGCCTTTTAATTAATCACACAATTTGAGAGTTTTCTTCATAGGTATCCACATCCAATTCAAGCATGAAAATATCTTAACCCCATCAAAACTCTCAACAACAAACAACTAAATTTTAATGAGTTGAATCCAAACAAGTCAATATAACAATAATTACATTGATGTTTTTACATTAAGAAGTGCTGCCACTTATTCATAAAGGTGTCACAGCGTAATAATGTTAGACTTGGTAATAATTAATTAACAAAAAAATTAATGTTTTTTCGGTAGTTACACAATTAAGTAAATACATACCTCATTGGACATGCAAAAGAAAACAATACAGATGATCTTCAATCATGTGTAATAATAAAATAGTAATGAATGAAAACAATCTCAAAATAGAAATAATAATAGTAAGAACCTAAATAGTAAACAGAGCTTGGAAATGAAAAAAAGTACCTCATATGTGTAGCTTCTCCTATATGCGGACAAAGTCTCGAATTTTTCAACTCCAGCTTCTCTTCATGTTTTATGGGGAAAGATTTCATATCACAATGTGATGAACAATATACACTCATAACACTTAAGACCGAATTTAACCCAAAACATTCAGGTATTCTCTAAATTCCATCTCCATCTTAAATTTTGTATACCAGTCATATCCCATCATTAATTTGGAAAAAGAAAAGGACAATTGATGTACATAATCAATTAATTTTAATCACCATTCCCATTAACAAACTTATCAAGACACTACAGAAACATAAACACATGTCTGTGCCTAAAATTTTGTCAAATTCCTAGCAATTTCTTAGCTTTATCAGTTCTTCAAAATATTTCTCATAGATACGGTGTTTCACTCAAATCAAACAAAGATATCTCCAGAAAATCCTAACCCAAATAACCCTTTTCCATGAAAATATACAAATGCAAGGAAAACAACTTTTTTTTCAATCCCAACTCGTTGCAGTGTGTGTGATGTTGTGTGTGTGGGTTCGCTGCTCTGTGTGTGTATATGGTGTGCGATGTGTGTGTGTATGGGTTCGAATGTGTGTGTGCCGTGAGAGAGAGAGAGAGAGGCCTATTTGGGTGAGTGGTCGTCGCCGGTGGTGATGTGAACCAGACTGTCGTAGGAGAGAGCGAGAAAGAGTCTGTCATTGTGTGTGTGTGGTTTTTTGGCGAGAGCGTCTATCGTAACAGAGAGAGAAGGGGTATGACTTGGGTAAGAGCAATGGATGTCGGCTTTTGTGAGATTGGGAGAGAGACACAGAAGTGAGATTGAGATGGATTCCATGAGAGATTTTGGGGATGAGTTTGGAAGGCAGGGATAGAGGCATGAGAGATTGGGAGAGAGAAAGGCAGAAGTGAAATTGAGAAAGATTTGACAGATTTCGGAGGAGAGAGATGTGAGTTAGGAAATGTTGTTGGACGGGAAAACAAAATTCAGTACTTACTGTAGATTGTTGGATCAGTATTTATGAGATGATCTGAACCGTCTTTTATGTTAGGATTACGTTGTCATTGGATATGTTTATATTTGGTCTTAAAACAATTTGGACCTCTCTTTGTCTCCAAAATTCAAACTCAGCTCTATTTTATAATATAGATTGTAGTTAACGTATTAAAATTATAGTTAACATTTTTAATCTGACAGAGAGTGTCAATGAAAATTCAAAAAATAGGAGTGTCCTTCAAGATATGATAAACTGAAACCGCTGCACTGAAATTTTTCTTAAAAATTAAGTTTTTAAAAGAACTAATCAGAAGATGCTACCAAAGCTTCTTTATAATTTTGAAACTCGGGGGTGACGTAGTTATCCACTGATTAGTTAAAGAAGAGTTATTTTTTTGTGAATTTGTAAAGACTATTCTGTTAAAAGAAGTTATCCGAGTTAAAAAAGCTCAAGTTATTAAGAAAATATTTTAAAACAATAGATAATTTAAAGCAACGGAAAATGTTTTATAAGATTATATGATTAAATTTATATAATAAAATAGCTTATAATTCAAATCTCAAAAAATAAACAAAATGACTTTTGCTATTCGCGGTTGAGATCGTTTTAAATTTTACTTTAAAATAATCTAATGACTAATATTAACACTCTAAATTTAATAGGAAAAATAGGCCCCTAAGAGTGTGTTTAGAGTGACTTTTTAAAAGTACTTATAAGAATTATTTTTTATAGGTACTTTAAAAAAAAAATAGTGTTTGAAACCGTCCCACCACTACCTCTAACACTACCACCGCCACTATCTTTACTGTCGCCGCCTCCACTACCACCACCACCACCACTGCCACCGCTGTTACCACCGTCACCGCCACCATCATTATCGTTGCCGCCGCCACCCCCTCCGCCGCCACCACCGCCGACACAGTCATTGCCACTCACCACAACCATCACCGTCCCCTACCACCACTACTACTGCCCACCACCTCTTACTCCCACTATAGTCGATGCTTAAATTTATTTATCTTTCATCTATGTTTGTGATTTAATTTTTGATATGAATACAAATATATTTATTGTGTATCATTTTTTATTACTCTGTGTCTTCAGGCACATGCAATAGCTAGTATATGTTATATTTGATCTTTTGACATGTAAAAATATCATATTATTATAATATAAACAACAATATTATATTTTAATTAATTTTTTTGACAAAAAATATAATAAAGCTATAATAGAATTAGGTGTACAAATTTAATTATTATTCGATTTGATTACATATTTAATTTAAATTTTTTAAAATTATTATTTAAATATATTTGCATGCAATGCAAGTTGTGTGTTGTTAGTGTAACTAACTATGACTAATTAATTGACTAACAATCACATAATATCCCATAAATATCGGGATATATCTTTATCTTCAACAACATTCAAATAAAATATAGCGATGAGACATCATAAATTCCTCTCACAATAATAATAATTTTAAGTCCCAACAAATCTCGTCTACCAAACTCTCAAATACGATAATATAAACTTCTAACTTAAAAGACTCCTATGTTATTGGTGAAAGAAAAAAAAAACGTTGAGACGTTTTAAAAATAAAAAATAAATAAATAGATTATGTTAACTTTTGAAAGATTTATTGAACGGTCCGTTAACATTGTATCATCAATTAATAATATCTAAACAAATAAAAAAAGGACTTCACATAAACAAATAACTATTTGTTCATATAAGTCAATAACTATTTTTTTTTCTTTTTTTCTTAAAGGGGTGCAACACGAGGACTTCTCAGGGGGTCACTCATCCTAGTACAACTCTCACCGAAACACGCTTAACTGCTAAGTTCTGATGGGATCCGGTGCATTAGTCCTGGTATGATCGCACCCTTATAAGACAATAACTATCAACCCTTCTTCTATGTAAATCAATAACTATTTAAGTAGAGTTCGATTTTTCTCATTTAAAATTTTATTATTAGTTGGTGATATCATATCATCAATACTGACATAGTATCACAGTTGAATTAAATGTTTTTCGACTTCTAGTGGATTAGCCGTAATTCAAGAATTCAATTGTCTTTAATTTTTAGAAATAATTAGCTCCAATAATTGCATTCAAAGATTAAGCAACATCACTTTGGCTCCAAGTAGAGTTCTTTCAGCAGGAAATCTTCTTTCTACAGCATCTCTAGTGTTTGCATGTTTCTTCCTCTCAGAGTCATACTACCATGGAGGTCGAGGACAACTCTGCGGTTACAAATCCTAGTGAGACTCATTTAAATCAAGATCGAACACCTCCACCGAATAACAGTACCAATGGCTTTGTAAACTATTTAGTAGCTTCATTGCCACCAGGTGTTTGCTTTCAGCCTTCTGATCAAGAGCTTGCTGGTTTTTATCTGAAGAGGAAGCTCAATAAGAAACCCTTGCCACCCAACCAGATTCAGGAGGTTCACGTCTACAAACACAATCCTCATACACTTGCAGGTCCAAAACTTGCTTTTTGCCTCACCTTTTTTTGGATTTTTTTCGTTTATTTTGTAATATCAAATTAATTACCCAACTCAACAAAGACTTAATTTATCCAAAATATTTAGGGCAGATTATTTGTTCCTTGTATTATTACTCAAAAAAAGTTTAAAATGTTGATCAGATATAATTAGATATACGTTTGATTGTTTTGTTCGTCATTTTTGAGCGATATCCATTTGGCAAATGAACCATTACTTAGTAGGATAGAATTGCAGAGTTAATTTACTAAATCTGTCAAAATATCATTTTTAGGATTTGTTTCCGAGATGATATTTTCTTCCCAGGGTTTCCCTTTTCAGTTTTTGCTTTTCTTGAATCTTGATAATTGATTAACTTAACGTGCTTATAATGACATTGATCTTGGTTTTTTTTTTTTTTTTTATCACAATCTTGGTTTTGTTTATAATCAAGATTAATTTTGGCATGCAAGCTATGTTCTTGTATGCACGGATTAACCGATCCAAGTGATTTTTTTAAAATTTTTTTTAGTTAAGTCTGTTTCCATAAGTAGTACCATGGTGACAACTACATGAGTGTTCTTGTATTTTGCACATTATAACCAAATTCTGAATTTGTTAGGGTGTAGTTATTGTTTTCTTTCCTTTTTTTTTTTTTTATTTGGGTAATTGATATATCTTTACATCTCAAATAAGTACTTGTTCTACCAGATTAATTTTTTTATTGTACATGTTTTGATAAACAGATCTCAATGAACTTTTTTATCAAAAGAAATCGATTTCATTGGTCAGAAATCACTGTAATTGGGTATATGCTCGAAGACTCCCAAGTAATACTCCAAAATGACCCTAGTCCGAAAGAGAATGTTGATGCCTCAGGCGATCCAAAGGACTAGTTGACTACCCCCCCTCACCACCTGAGAGGCTAATATACAGTAGTCAAGGCCATTAGATTTAAATCCAAGGGGAGGGTTTTGACACAACCCTATGACTTCAAGGGGGACTGAACGCACTTAACATATACAATTGTCTTGAAAAGCTGCAAATGGAGAATGGTAACGAAATGAAATAAGGCATTTCTCGCTCTAGTTTGGGATGAACTTCTCCTAATTATGTCTGGTAATAGAATAGGATGACTTGCTCTGACCAAGACTCCACTTTTTTCTCCGTCGTATGAGTTTCCTGGAATGTAATTAGTAAAGAAATTGGTACCTAAGAATGAACTAGTATTCCTTACTTAGGTTGCCACTATCGTTTCTTCTTTGTTCCTCCTATCCTTTTTATAACATGCTGAGATGTTTCCATGCAAGTATTGTGTACTAAGTGAGGATTGACATTTTGGTGATCAACAGAAAACTATAAGGCATGTGGATGCGGAGAAAAGGAGTGGTATTTCTTTACACCAAGAGAGAGAAAGTATACGAAAGGAAATCGACCGAGCCGAACTGCAGGTGATGGATACTGGAAACCTAACGGTGCTGATAAACCTATCAAACACAATGGTGTCATTGTTGGTTTCAAAAAGACTTTGGTGTTTTTCTCGGCATACATCCGAAAGGAGAGAGAACCCCTTGGAAGATGCATGAGTATACAGTTAAGAATCCGCCTGGGAAACGCCAAGGGGAACCAAACCCCGTGAGGGTACTAAATATTAACCTTGTTCTCCTTTCCAAGTTTCTATTCTTCAAAGTAGTGCAACTTAAAGCCGGTCAACCGAGCCCAATGCAAGCTGAATTCAAAGTATTCAGTACTTCTACAGTTAAATAATCATTTTATTTAAAATTTTGAACCGTTAGAAATGATATAACTTTAAGTATTAGTTTTTCAATATGTCCGTACAAGCTAAATTTTAGGCCAGCGAGAATAATTAGAGTAATAACAAGATTTAAACACAGAATATCCTACTTTGATATCATGTTAAATAAATATCCCCTCCAAAAGTTTAAGTTATTAAAAAATATATAATTTAAGTATTTATACTTCAACATATTTTTTTTCTTTGTAATGCACAGATTGGACTTGAGCTAAAGATCCTAATCTAATTTAAATCCAGGCGATACCCTGGTTGGCATCTCAGTTCTTCGGAATTAAAAATCCAAATTGAACCTAATTCTAGAATGAATTAGGTAAACCAAGAATTAAACTGTAAACCAAGAATCAAACTCGAACTAGATCTAATTTTAAATCGAATTCAAGCAAAGTTCAAGATTTTAAACATTGGCAATACTTAGCTTGTAAGGTTTGAGGTAAATTTAAGTTTGGGTTGCACTCAAGTTTAGAGCTCGGAATGAGTTCAAACTGCCTGAGTTGTACACTCAAGTATTTGAAAACTTGTGCTAACTTTTGGTGATATACTTTCTTGTAGTTGGATGAATGGGTTCTATGCAGGATTTTTAACAAAGTGGGGAGATTGAACACCACAAGAAATGGGCTTCAAGATCCTAATCAACAGACAAAGAACAGTGTTCAACCACAGCAGGGGGATAAGCAACATGTTCAAGCTCGAGACGACTCAACTATGGTGTAAGGATAATGTTCTATGCCTTTGTCAGAAATTTTGGCAATCCTCCTTTCAATCATTATCGTCAACCTATTATGGCAAGTGGTTTCAACATATATAGATCCTTTCGAATTATCATTTTCTGATTTTAATGTTGAGGAATTTCTTGAGGATGATGAGGATACTCAGGCCTAATAACCACGCTCTGAAGGATCAAACCACAGTATAGGCGACAAAACAGGAATTCAGAAGAGAGATATCCCTTTGTATATTTTAGCTAGGTGTTTGTTTCTTCACTTTTGCTTTTCCCCCTATTTTGTAGTTAACTTGCAAGGGTTTAGACATTGTGAATTTTTTTAGTTTTTAAACATTGCGAATTAAAACTTTAAGTTTTAACCCTTTTTTATGGTATGGTATTTATGTTTTATAGTTTAATATCCATTTAACACAAAAAAAATTAAATGGAATTTATACAAAAATACAGACACATAAAAGAAAAAAATCCATCCCTTATATATTTGTGTCACCTATTTTTTATGGTAATTCATTTGTCGACACAAAAACGTAATTTGATTGTAAAAAATTATAAATTTCGATACAGTATCATAGGAATGATCGATATAAACTAGCCAACTAGAAGATGATTTGTTGAAAGAAGTTTCTCATACGTTTCCTACTTTTGACTTTTTTGTCTAACCCAACGCACCTTCTACAAGATAATCTTTTAACAATGTGTTCTTTCTTAAATGAATTCGATATTGGTTTGAGTTTTGACACTGGTCACAAGTTTGGTGGTCTAACCGGGCTGGCATTGTTGATTTTACTACGACTCAATATTAACAACTCCGAAAGGTTAAACTATTAAAGCTAAAAGCATTGGAATTAATCCTAAAGCATTAGGATCGATCTTGAGGTTGGTCATAATCTTATTATATGAAATTGTAGTATCACTCTTCTCTTGTAGCCACTTTTGAAACGATTATTTATTTTTGTATGATTGATCCCAAACAATTATATTTTTCAATAATTTCATTACACTTAGTGGTAAAATCATTCTCATTTTAGAGTCTATTTCAATACAAACACTTTTTTTTCTGAACTAAATATAAAAACACATTGGATTGTAATTGCTGCTATTGGTTACATTTGTTTGGTGAAAAGGCTCAAATAAAACTTTCTCAAACTTTGGGACGAGCCGTAAAGCAAAACATATTGAATTCGAATTTTAACAATTCTTTGGTTCAGGTCATGAGGAATTTATCTCACATGAATATCTTAATTCCGGTGTGAATAGTCTGTCTTTGATTAGATCAGAGAAAAAATTAATCAAAATACACGTAAATAGACTCAGATACCCTGGCTATGAAACGTAAATAAAACTTTCACCAACTCTCCAAAACCGCGTTGTATAAATGATGCATGGTATGGCTGTCATTGAATCGGACTGCACTTTGAAACCCAAATGCCGTAGCAAATTATCTGTGTCCAGCTTAAAGTCTCACACTTCCAACCTCTTTATTACCCCACAACTTGGGTCTCCACACAACCTTCCTCTCCTCTTTCCCCTCTAATTTCCTCCTCCTCTCACCTCCCTATATATACCCACCCACATAACCAAGTTTCATCTCATCAGCCCACAAAAAACACCCTTCTAAACCCAACTCTTATCTGATCACAATTCACACACATCTCTTTCATTTTCTTCCATTTTCCTGCTAAACAAACAAAGTCCCAAATCTTCTCTGCAATATTACACGGTATTTCCACTTGCAAATGGCTTCTTCTTCAGCTTCAATATCGCTGCTGATCTCTCTTTTGCTTGGGTCTTTCATGGTTTCTACAGCCAACTTATACCAAGACTTGGACATCACATGGGGAGACGGCCGAGCTAAGATACTCAACAATGGCGACCTTCTCACTCTCTCACTTGACAAAGCATCAGGCTCAGGCTTTCAATCCAAAAATGAATACTTGTTCGGAAAGATCGACATGCAGCTCAAGCTTGTCCCCGGAAACTCAGCCGGCACTGTCACCGCCTATTATGTAATTATCTGAATGGACTATTATTCTGGCCTCGAATTTTCTTTTTCTTTTTCTTTTTCTTTTTTGGATGTGAATTGTTAGAACTGGATACTAAATCCTCATGCTTCATGTTATTGCAGTTAAGCTCACAAGGATCAACTCATGATGAGATAGACTTTGAGTTCCTAGGGAACTTGACTGGTGAACCGTATATTCTTCACACCAATGTGTTCAGCCAAGGCAAAGGCAACAGAGAGCAGCAATTCTATCTATGGTTTGACCCCACTGCTGATTTCCACACCTATTCCATCCTTTGGAATCCCCAACGCATTATGTAAGTACTGTACCCCAATTTCAGGTTGTTCATGCAAATTATATCTAGTCAAAGTTCAATTCATTCGACTCATTTATCATCATATTAAATCTTATATATTCATGATGGGTAGGGTTAGTGGTGTGTGCAAGCCGCATTTAGCCGGGTTCTTTTTCATGCCGATTCATTTATTTGACGGATGTAATGAATCCATTTTTTTTTACCACACAAACTTCATAATTTTATATCTAGTTCAAATTAGGTTCGCCAGCCGTATCTAAAAGTGTCCCGCTACCCCTATCGGACCCAAAACTGGACTTATATACTACAACCCTTTTAGGTTTGTGATAATTATCTCAGATGAATACAATCATCCACTAGTCACATACAGTTTGAGGAAACTTTATATTGACTTGTTTGTCGTTTATATCAGATTTTCTGTGGATGGGACACCAATCAGAGAATTCAAGAATGCCGAGTCCCTTGGCGTTGCATACCCAAAAAACCAGGCAATGAGGATTTACTCAAGTCTGTGGAATGCTGATGACTGGGCCACACAGGGTGGTCGGGTCAAGACAGATTGGACACAAGCTCCATTCACTGCCTCTTACAGAAACTTCAATGCTTCCAATGCCTGTGTATGGTCATCTGGTTCATCTTCTTGTAGTTCAAGCTCTTCTTCATCTTCAACCTCTTGGCTGAGTGAAGAATTGGATTCCACTAGCCAAGAGAGGCTAAAATGGGTGCAGAAGAACTATATGATTTACAACTATTGTGCTGATACACCGAGGTTCCCACAGGGCTTCCCTCCTGAATGTGCTCTCAACACCTCATCATAAAGAGAAGAAAAGGGACTTCGGAAACAATCCTTTTGTCAGAGAGTTTTTTTCCACAACATTATATTCTTTTGTTTCATGTTTGCTTTATGTAATATTACTCTTTCATTCTTTGTATTTTAAATGGTTGTAGCTGAAAATGGAAGCATAAATAATTAAATACCCCTTTTGTTGTACTATATATATTCTATATTAGCAATGGAAAAAAAACATGAATTTTCCTAACTTCTGCTGGGAATTATAACAAAGTTGAGCTCATTTATCAAGTACAAATTACATTTTACATTCCGGATGAAGTTTGGGTTTATTTACGGTACAACCGGATAAAAAAAAAATTCAACTCGGGATTGGATTGAATACCAAAAAATCTAAGACCCAACATGGGTATTGTTCAAAATTTAAATTAGGTTGGAATATTTTTTGCTTGCATACAACTTGAGGTCCGCTTAAGTTTGGATTGACCCACTTGCAAATATTTGCACGTGTAACATTGCAAGCGACTCTACATCATACAGCAATTGAAAATAGACAAACAACAAAACTAGGCTAGTTGGCTGAAAACCTAGTCCACCAAACCCAACCCTCGTTTTAACTTGCCCGTTCGTTCGAGTCATCCCAAACGTCCCTGTTTAAAATTAAGGTAACAAGCATAGGTTAATGGACTATTTTCGGCCCTTAAAAGCCTTCCACTTCAATTCGATTCAAGTTCAATCATCCATCTTAAACTTTAGTGGGTCTCAAATCCACATAAACCCATTGGTACGACCAAGTAAATTTAATGTCAGATGACAATTGAAATTAAAAGTGATAAAATCTAAAATTGATTTGTTATGACTTGATTAGCATGCAATTTGAATTGGTATAAGGGGTACTTTTCAGCCCGTCTGTGTCCAGCTAATCAATTGTCCCATACTCTCACCTCCGCTCTATTCTTCCGGCACTTAACCTCCCTCTGCCGTTTCCATATTCCTATGCCGACTTTGGTACCAAGTTTAGACCAAGTTACCATAATAAAAATCTAGAATCCAACCTGAAACATTGGGATCCATATCAAACAACCTCATTTTGTCGTACTCATCCATTTGAATCACAAACTCTTATTTTATGGTAGAAGTGGTTCAGTGTCTAAGTCTACCTTCTAGTAATTAAAAAGTNACAACCTCATTTTGTCGTACTCATCCATTTGAATCACAAACTCTTATTTTATGGTAATTTTCAGTTCTGTACCGAAGTGATCATTCCACACGTAGAAGTGGTTCAGTGTCTAAGTCTACCTTCTAGTAATTAAAAAATCTCAAGTTTATAGTCGGCGTAAACCTGAACACCTGATGCAATTCAAACCGAAGTGATCTTTCCCTCTATAAATACCCAACCAGGAATTCAATTCTCATCATCCTCCCAAAGTTCCTCTCCTTCCCTAGACTTCTCTTACCACTGCAACTTCGACACACACTTTATATCATCAATGACTTCTTCCTATAATTTAGCAGCATTCATGATATGTCTGGCAATATGTTTTTAANCATCCTCCCAAAGTTCCTCTCCTTCCCTAGACTTCTCTTACCACTGCAACTTCGACACACACTTTATATCATCAATGGCTTCTTCCTATAATTTAGCAGCATTCATGATATGTCTGGCAATATGTTTTTTAACAGCTGCCTCTGCTGGTAACTTTTACCAAGACTTTGAGATAACTTAGGGAGAGGGCAGGGCTAAAATTGTCAATAATGGGGAGCTTCTAACTCTCTCACTTGACATAGCCTCTGGCTCAGGCTTTCGGTCCAAGAATGAGTATCTCCTTGGAAAAATAGACATGCAGCTCAAGCTTGTCCCTGAGNTAACTTTTACCAAGACTTTGAGATAACTTAGGGAGAGGGCAGGGCTAAAATTGTCAATAATGGGGAGCTTCTAACTCTCTCACTTGACATGGCCTCTGGCTCAGGCTTTCGGTCCAAGAATGAGTATCTCTTTGGAAAAATAGACATGCAGCTCAAGCTTGTCCCTGGGAACTCAGCTGGCACTGTCACTGCTTGCTATGTAAGTTGCAGTCTTTTATTAGAGTTTGCCTCATCATTTAGTTTAGAAGCACTAATAATACTTCCTTTTGGTAATTCGAGAGAACGGTCCCAACTATACGTCCTTTAGACTCAATACATGCAAATACAAACTTTATTTGCATGCAATTACTAACAAATTAGGTGCACCGGTTAAACCCAAGTTTAAGTGACCACTAAGACTCAAATTCAGAAAGTGCGGGTTCTTTCTTTAATTTTTCTAATCAATATGAAGTCCTGGTTTTGTTTCTGATGCAGTTGTCCTCACAAGGATCAAATCATGATGAGATAGATTTTGAGTTCTTGGGGAACTTGAGTGGCGATCCTTATATTCTTCACACCAATGTGTTCGGCCAAGGCAAGGGCAACAGAGAGCAACAATTCTATCTTTGGTTCGACCCAACAGCAGATTTTCACACCTATTCCATCCTGTGGAACCCCCAAAGGGTCATGCAAGTACAATTTCCATTCTCACCCGAAATAACTCAATTTAACTCGACAAAGTCCAATCCTATCATTCGTCATAGGTACCCTATCAAGGGTCCATGCTCACCCGGGATGATGATCAAAAATTCGATTTATCTCATCTCTGTGCTTGATTAACCTTAGATATTATGTTATTTTGATATTTATTATTGACTAATTACGTTAGGCAAGACATTAAGTTTTCTCAGTTATCTGTGGTTNTTTGATATTTATTATTGACTAATTACGTTAGGCAAGACATTAAGTTTTCTCAGTTATCTGTGGTTTGACCTCAAACTTCTGAATATTATATTACATCACGACAAATTGCACTTAAGTGAACAATTCTAAAGTTGTATCAGTGCCGNATTTATTATTGACTAATTACGTTAGGCAAGACATTAAGTTTTCTCAGTTATCTGTGGTTTGACCTCAAACTTCTGAATATTATATTACATCACGACAAATTGCACTTAAGTGAACAATTCTAAAGTTGTATCAGTGCCGACTAGATTTTTCTGCTCATTTCAGATTTTCAGTGGATGGAACACCCATTAGGGAGTTCAAAAACTCAGAATCGATTGGGGTTCCATACCCAAAGAACCAGCCAATGAGGATATATTCGAGTCTCTGGAACGCGGATGACTGGGCAACAAGGGGGGGACTGGTGAAGACAGACTGGAGCCAAGCTCCCTTCACTGCCTCATATAGAAATTTCAGTGCTGATGCCTGTGTATGGTCTTCAGGTTCATCTTCATGCAGTTCAAGTTCAACACCAGCAACAGGCAATTCTACTGCTTGGCTGACTGAAGAATTGGATTCAACAGACCAAGCGAAGCTCAATGGAGTGCAAAAGAATTACATGATATACAATTACTGTAGTGACACAATGCACTTCCCACAAGGCTTACCCCAAGAATGCTCCATTTGAAGCAGTCCTTGGGGAAAGGAAGAGGCTGCACAAGCAACATCCTTGGACTGGATTTGAAATCTTATTTGGTTGATACAATGCAAGTCAGCTTATTGTTGTTCTTTTTTCTCAGTTGTTTTGATTAAACGAAAAATTATTTGTTTTGATTAATTTTTCTAGTTTTGATTCATTAAAATCAAAATTATGTCGGTCAGAAGAACAAATTTCAGTTTTTCCCTTGTGGTTAGATCTCTCCTATGAAGTTGGATAAAGTATGTTAAAAAATGCATGTATTTTCTTGGGTGTATTCATAAAAAAAATTGGTAAAACAAAATGCATTCTTACACTTTCTATCCAAATTAATCGAGCTTGTGAGTAAGCCTGTCAGCAGATTGGGTTTAAATCGGATTCTAACTAATCTGAATTCGAATCTGATTTCAAAAATTCGATCTAATAATCCAACTAATTTTATTTTTTGTAGTCCATATCTTAATCTGTTAACAATTCAAAATTTTGATCCAATCCGAATAACTAAATTTCTTTAAATAATTACTTAATTTCTTTAATATGTATATAAATAATTCAAATCAAATCATAATCAGATAAGATATAAATATATCTAAATCTAAATCCGTAAAATATAAAATATCAGATTTGAATTCGAATTCGGATTATCGATAAAAAAATATTAATTCATATTCAACTAATCAGTTTCAGATTCGAATCAAAATCCGATCCAATGACAAACTTACTTGTGAGACATAAAAAGTGATATAGTATTTAGCAAATTCAGAGATATTAATACTGAATCCCCATAATCATTCAATCACCACATAGACATTGCTATAAACCAACAGATGTTACCTCCTATTAAGTCGTCTAATTTACCTATTTCTATGAACAAGCCACCAGTGCAAGTGAGAATGTTCACCTGTTGTCTTTTGTTCTTTCTTTTTTTATGGTTTCCAGTTCAATTCGTACAAAGAAAAGGAAACAAAGCCAAAAATACAATACCAATGGTCACAAACAATGACAACCCACCACATGAGGCAATATTTATGCAATTCAATTCTCTAAAATAAAAAGATTCAGGATAATAAAGATATCGCATTCATTATGCTCGTAACGTTTATCAAACAAGTACAAATTTAATTCCAGCACCCACAGGACGAGCTCATAAGCATATTTAATGTAATAAAAAATTAAGCACGATTCTTATACAACAATCAACAGCAAAAGGTCATAGGCAGCTTGACCAAGTTTCATACATGTTTCCCTAATCAGTCGTCAGGCTCGAGAAAGGTCATCATTTTCAGTCATAAGCACCTTCATGTCCGAAACCCAGATATAATTAACAAACAAGAAGCAGAATCAAGAGCGAAAAGCATTCACGTTAATACATCGTCAGTTAATTTGAACAACTTACTGTACAGGAAACTGTACATGACATGTCTGATGTTTGCTATACAACCATCAGGGGTTCTAAAGACTCCTGAAATCTTCAGTGTAGTTCCAAAGCCTTGAATTTGTGCTTCCACTGTTGAGATTCAACATTGTCAACATCCAATACCCAACTATTCGTCTTCTAACTCCACAATCTTGGCCCGCCTCTCAGCTGCCTTCTTCCTTATGAAGAAGCCCCACCTCATTGCTGCCTTGATTTTCAGCCAACCCACGACAGCTTTTCCAGAACGGCTGCGATCCTCATCAAAACTGAAGTTCGGAGAAGGTGATGACATGTATGATGGGAAAGCATAAGCATCGTCAGGCACATTGACAGAGGCATGAGCTCCCATGCTGAAGAGTCTAAGCAAATGCTGCATATCTTCATTCTCAAGCATCTCATGGCTTCTAATGCGAATCTCCTCCTCTGACAAGAAGTCCTCGACACCCTTGTCCCGGTTGTGGGACCAGTCATCAAAGGGGTTAAGACTGGATTGCTGAACAGAGGAGCTTACTGTATGGAAGGATGAAGATGATTGCGGAGGACCAAGGGCCAGTCCGACCCTATTATTATGTTCTCTAGTTTGCATATGATGAGAATTGTTAATTCTCTGGTCATGCGGAGCAAATGGAGTGCTGTCAAACTGAGGGTGGGAATTGGAATTCATGATCTGAGACTGGGTTTGGTATCTAGTTGCCATATTGTCATTATAACCCAGACCTGAGAGAAAAGATGGTAATTAATGACCATTATACATGGGTTGCCAAGCACCACTGCGACATCTCTGTGTGTCTATCATCGTGACCACAATTGAATCATATAATAATTGTGCAGTATGCCCCCCAGCCCAACTACTTGCCTAGCAACAAAAGTTACATTGCAGCACAAAAAAAAAAAAAAACAGATGCATAGTGTCCCAAACACCTTCAAGGGTAGAAGCATACGGCAAAAGAGTAAGGAAGTTAGATAAACCGAAAAGCTCAAGCTTGGCTAAGGCTCGGTTCTTGGCTCGTTCAAGCGCTTTCTTATTAAAATACGAACTGAATCTGAACAATTATTCAATCTCATTTTGTATCCAAGTCGAGCTCGAGCAAAAACCGAGCTATTCACAAGCCAGGTCTCGGTTTATCGTATATAGTTTATTCAAGCACATTAATAATTTATTCAGATAGAATATACTCCAAATGAAAATAGTTTAGAAATTTTATAACTTCTATTGCTAGTTCCTGTTACACTAGCAGTAGAATTCAGCCCTAAACTACTGAACATTTCTATAAATTCATGTGAACATGTCTCATTCATTCTCCACGTCCAACCCCCCCCCCCCACCGGCCCCCGGCGCCCCAAATAAAGAAAAAACACATTCACGGACTTACAATCCTCTCCTCTCTTTTACTCTTCCTTTCCAGTTTTCTCTCTCCACAATCTTAATGAACACCATTTAACCTGTGAACTTTCTCTAGGCCTGATTTTTGGAGATTTTGTGTGTAGCAGCATATAGATTTGTAACCTTTGTAAGGTGGCAGCGCCTACCAAGCAAAGCTTTCTTGAAGAGGTTGGGCAGGTTCCTTTTCGGCGCCCGCCCTTTCTTTTTTTAGATGTTGAGGCAAGGCAAACCTAGGAAAGTGGCTTGAAGAGGACATATTTTTCTCTTAGAGGGACGGATCACCTTGATAAAAGCATGTTTATCTAGCATTCTTTTGTACTATTTGTCACTCTTTAGAATCCCTCTAGCAGTAGTTGGTAAATTATATAAGACGATGATGGACTTTCTTTGGTCTAGGGCAGGGTGGGAGATGATAAACAAAGTCACTTAGTGAGTTGGGAGACAATTTGTAAACTTATAGATGAAGGGGGTTTGGAACTTAGTAATTTGGCGCCTAAAAACATTTTCCTAGTAGGAAAATAGTTATGGAGGTTCCCATTAGAACCTGACTCCCTTTATAAGTATGGGTGTTATCAGTGTTATTTAAGGCATAAAACGAATCGAAGCGAACCGGTCTCCTGAGGACCTAGGCGAGAAACGAAGCGAGCGCTTCATTGAAGCAAAGCGAACAATACAAAAAATAAGCAAATATTTTAGTTTCATACTTTAATTACTCCAATATATTCAAGTTTTAACATTGCAAATATAAAATATTTAAATGAAATCAAAATAATAAACATTAACATATTTTAAATAGACAAGATATTAAATATTGAACATTACTGTATTCTAAAAATAATCAATTGATATAATCACGTCATCTAAATGTAAAAGTTAGCAAATGTGGGTTCGACTTCCATCGTGATTGATTAATATCATCACTAAACAAAGCACTCACAAATTGATTAATCAAATAGAGCATATAGCAAATTGATTAATCAATTTAATTAACCAAGCAAATTGTTTAACAAGATTATTCACATCAAAACAAAGCATTTAAAATTATCTAATCATGATAAGACAGATTGTCATATGATACTGTTACACGAATCAATTAATTTATTTTATACATACACACCTATAACATTATCTCTGCTAGGGTTTGGTTAATGTTAAAGAAGAAGAAGGAAGAGGAGGATGGGGGGAGGGGGGAGGGGGAGGAAAAAATAAAAAAATTGCAGTCAGGCGTTCGCTTTTCTCGCCTGACTCGCTTGGTNGAGGAGGATGGGGGGAGGGGGGAGGGGGAGGAAAAAATAAAAAAATTGCAGTCAGGCGTTCGCTTTTCTCGCCTGACTCACTCGCTTCGAAGCTCGTTTTTTTCTCGCTTTACTTAACTTCGCTTTGCCTTGGATGTTCAAAGCGACCAAAGCTCGCTTCGCTTCTCGCCTAGGCCCTCGCCTATACTACCTTTTCACAACACTAGGTGTGATATTAAGTCAGGGCATAACTCAACCTTGGAAGTTCATTTTCACAGATTTACCCTTCTTTTCTTCCAATGACTTGATATAAAGTCAATGATGGATCCAAAATCCTATTTTGGGAGGATACATGGATTGGAAACTTATCTTTTCATAATATATTTCCCCGTCTTTATCGTTTAATTATCCTCACTCCAAGAAGCTCTTATTTCCTCTTTTCTCGTCACGGAGAAGGGCTTATGTTCTTGGAATTTTCATTTCTTAATAAATCTAAGATATTTTCATCCAAATCCTTCTATTCACATCTTGTTAGTTCTAATAATAATGATTCTTTCCCTTTGGCCAAATTCATTTGGAAATTCAAAGTTCCTTCCAAAATTAAGGCTTTTGTTTGGACCATTGTCCTTAATCATGTGAACACTAACAATTTGTTGCAAGTTTGGAGGCCCTAAAAAACTGAGTCCAGATATTTGTCTTGCTTGGCAGTTGTCTTACTTGTTAGTGTAACAATGAATTGAATGCTCATTTATTTATTCACAGTGATTTTGCATGGAACTTGTGGAATACATTATTCAAGTTGATTGGCGAGACTTGGGTTTGCCCTTCTGCAGCAAAGCAAATGTGGCGAATTAAATATTGGGGCTTTGAAAAGAAAAAAGAAGCTAAAGTACTATGGCATTGTGCGATCATGATGATTCTTTGGTGTATTTGGGTGGAAGAAATGCTAGAATTTTCAATAACCTCTCCCTACCTTTTGAATTAGTATAGGAACATTGGTTTTTACGGCTTCACTTTGGACCAAAGCTACAAGAAGTTTTAAAGGGTTGTCTTTGTCGGATTTGTAAAGGGACTGGATGACGGCTCTACTACTTAGTTCTATTTTTTTTTCCATTTTTTCTTATTCTTAAATCTTTTTTATGGAGGATATCTTGTCATCTACATTGTATTATGCTCTTTATTCCTTTCAATAATAAAATCCTTCATTTATCAAAAATAAATAAATATTTAGCTTTTGTTGCATGATTCAAATTTGGGAGAATTTTATGAGTTTCATATTTGAAATGTGTGAATTTGAGCTTTGGTGGTTTTGAAATTTTTTTCTAAGAGCTTGAGCTTTTGCGGAACAAGCTTGAAGAATAATCTGATCTTGGTGGTTGAGCTTGAGCTTAGCTTGAACATCCATTCATCAACTCGACCCAAGCCTGAGTATGAGAAAGTCAACTCGATTAACAGCCCTACACAAGAGAGATATTGGAGGCCAATGATTTGCTATCAGAACAAAGTATGAACAAACGGTCTCAAAAGGGGGGTGCATGACAAGCTAATATTGATGACCCATTTTTTCAGAACTGATTACCATCCACAAGGTGGCCAGCAGAGGGGGAAATTATTCCAGAATTTGCCAGCACAATCAGCCATGCAATTCAATATGGTTAACTCACTACAATTCGCTGACTCGTCACGAAGCTCACTACAGTCTATGTATCGCCAATCAAAGAATATGTTTATAAGCCATTAAATGATTACCTCTAAGTAGCAAACTCGAATCCACTGAAGACCGCTCAGCAGGAACTGATGCTGGCAACCGTGCTGGAGGAAGCTGATTTTCCAAAGCATTAGGATAATCCACGGGATCCATTGGAAGTTCATTTCGAGTTGTACTCGACCTCTTGCTTTGCTTAAAGCTCAAAAGCGACTTCCCATCATACTCTACAACTTGGTTCCAATTGTCGTAGGCTTTCTTCAACAAGGTATCCACATATATCTGAAGGAAAAACATTTCAGAGATTCTCATGTATTTATACAAGTATTTGCTTAAGAGGGGCCACAACTTCAGCAGTTAAAATACGCAAGAAGCCAGCAGAAAAATATAGTGCATATGAAACTTCTAAAAGGAAGACTTCAGACTGATGGAAAATACATAAATCTATTTTAATAAGACCAACAACAATGTCATAAAAAAGGCAACTACCACCAACCTTCTGGCTGTCAGAAAGTGAATCTGCTGAATAGTATTGTTCGCTAGCTATCAGGCCACACAGCTCGTAGATATTGTTGAAAACAACACCCACATCTCTTGTATCATCAGGATAATATACATAAAGCTTCCCACTCAAGCCGCAAGTTTTTGAATGCTCTATTAGAGCATCCCACATCTTATTTGACATACCAGTACCAAGAATCTACACACATTAGTCACATATGTTAGAAGACATTTCAGAACATGGACTCTCAATTTTGACACCCAAATCATACACTCACATTCCGCAATTTTTGGGAGTCTCGGACCACCAGTCGAAGAAAGTCCTGAACAGTAAATATCCCAGCCTTATTAAGCCTCTTGTGGAATGACCCATCCTTGCCAATCTTCTCCAATCTCCACACTTCATCATTTAAAGCAGGTGGATAGTGTTTCTTGTATACTGTCAAGAAAGAAAAACAACAGATATTATATTCCAGAACCACTAAGAAGTCAAACAGTACAAACTGGACTGAGTGATCTTACATTCTCCTCTATGATCTTTAACAGTGAAAGCTTCTGTTTTTGCTTCACGAATGCGTATGCCCTCACAACATCCTGAGGTAACCTTCAGGCCAAGTCTGAACTTTCTGCTCCTTATCCAGCTTGAGTTATCTGTAAACGTAAGCTCCCCTAATGTTCCCACACCTTCCTTGAGTGTCACTTGTAACTCTCCAGTTAGAAGTGGTCTTTTTCCTTCACGTTCTTTCACAACATGACTGTCAAATTCTTCTTGAGTCCAGTTCTCATCGTCTTCATTGTTGAAATCACCTTCCAGTACAACAACATCCAGCTTTACAGAAGATTCAGGTCCAGATGTCACTACATGGTCAGTGTAGGTATCAACCAAGACAATATGGATAGCAGCACCCTGCTCCCCTTCTACCTTCCCCCCTGTGAAGAGGGGCAGAGACAGTCTGGATTTAAAGTGCAGCTGCAAGTTTCTTCCATCTGGTCCTTCAAGTCGTTTGGGTGAAGACCTGAATTTTAGTTTTATGATCAATAAATCACAAGCCAAAAGTCAAAATAAATGAAGTGACCAATTTAGACAATTTAAAAAAGATAAATAACAACATTCGAGCTCAAGAAGTGGCCCTTTTCAATATTCATATCTCTTCAATGACACAATGCTGGAAAACTTGAAAACTAATCATTCTTGGTGACATGGCAAATGATGAGACCGCAAGTTGACAAAGCAACATATTCACGATGGGAGCTTATGTGACCAAATCCACCTTCAATTTGATAAATGCATTGCTTGCGAAGTATGTATTCCTTTAAGTCTTATAGATCTATCTGTTGTTGATTGGAAATTGGAAACTGATATTCGATAGAAACGATTGCTTAATTCTGTTAAGAGAGTTTGTATCCCACATCGAATAATTAAAGCTCAAGGCCTCCTAGTCTAATCCATTGATCTGCTGTGTCTTCTCTAGATGTGTCTCCACCATTTCTATCTCTCCCAAGTTGCTAGAAGGACCACCAAAGTTGGTTTATATACTAGAGGGGTCACTCCAATCATTGTGAATTGATTTTGGATTGGATGTTATAACATGGTATAAGAACTGGGCCTTAGGTGGTTTCCCTTATACATTTAATTCCAATATGCATGGTTGTTTGTTTGTTGACCCCACATGAGACTGGGTTCCAACTGAGGAAGGGTGCACCAAGGTTGGTTTATATAATTGAGGAGTCACTCCACCTATTGGCTAATTGATTTTAGGTTGGATGCTTAGTTTTATAACGTATAGTATTAACTTCAGAATTTGTATATTATTTAGTAATTGTGCTGAGTATTGTTCACAAATTGTTTATCAATGACTGAAGAATATGGACTTTCTACATATGGTCGTCTCAAATTGAATTATAATCAAATCGAATTGAGTTGATTACATAATTCGAACAGTTCTAAATTCGCCTCAAATAAAAAAGGGATAATAACCTCCTTGATTCAAGAACAATAAGACTCAGTTTTGATCTAAAAAGAATGAGGATTTTGCTTGATCAATTACTAGTATAATCAAACAGCAGGTCAGTTGGTGATAACAGTGGCTTAAGCTTAATTTGGATTGAAAAGTCATTTCTATATTGATAGTAATGGATTCAAAATAGATAGCTTCAAACTCCTCTTTTGGATAGAGAATGAGATTGGTTCAATAACTATATCTACATCAACCCACACCCATTTAAATTCAATTTAAAATTGAACTCATAATTTAGTTAATAAATAAGAAATATTATAAAAAATAGAGTAACTTCTTTTTTCCGATCCGGTGAATAAAGTCATGAACCAAATGCATATAAATTTGATAGCTAAACATGCAACCTACAAAGCACAAATATTTCGTTGAGGTCGGCGTACTCGTATCCGATAGGATCCTCGTCGGATACTCTAAGATACATATTGGATTCTCTTCCTACGTATCCGATAATTATAAAATATTTAGATACTTCACGAATATTTTTGTATCAAAGTAACACATATTTTTTAAATTTAATCTTTAATATCTCCTTTTGAATTCACATATCATATAATACATCAACAAAAATTTATACTGTTTCGAAAACACATGAGTATTTTTTAAGTATTATCTATTATTACATGTCAAAAGAGCATAAAATGAATCAATTACATTATAATCTTAGCTATAAATACTTCTAAATAAACCAAGTAAATATTACTTTTGATTCCTTTAATTAGTCACTTCATTTTCTGAATATATCATAATGATATGATATATACTTCTTCAAAACTAAAAAAAATTATTAATTTTACTTATTATGTCAAAGAATTACCAAAAGTTGGTAGATAATAGAAAAAATATGAAATATATTTTGTAATAAACATATCCAGACCATATCCATATCTTACTTTTTAAAATTTTATTGTATCGTATCGTAATCGTATCTCGTATCTATATTCGTGCTTCATATCACGCAACAAATGTATTGCACTAACAAGGTACCCCAAGTGGTCACTCATTAGAATAACATTGTGACTGCGAAAAAATTTCAAGGGACTGGCTGAAAGAGTTCATGTACATTGGCAAATATCATAAACTTCTATCATATACCATATACCTATCGTCTAAGAGCATTTCCTATCATAAGATATCTTTGGTACTAACGCATCCATCACCACTACAACAGATAACCCCATGTCTTTTCCCAAACTACAAACAAGGTTCTCCATATTTATATGTATACTTTTTCTTGTTTTTGGTGGTTGGAGCTTTTTCCTTCTTTTTTTTTTTTGTAGGGGCAAGGAAGAAGGTCAAGGGGACCTTGCTGCAAAATGTTGATCCTGAGTAGAGCAAAATATCATCACCACTAAAAAAGGGAAGGACACATTCCATTGTTCCTGCAAGCTATTGATGTGCAGTTTAGTAGCAACATTTTTTGTATAGAATCATGCACATAAGCTGATCATTTTAAGCACATCGGCCGGCTTGTTAAGCAAACAAAACAGATGGAAGGATTGCGCATTAGATAGGGGGAGATGACCAATTAGTGATAAAGAAGCTCAAAAGCTAAAGTTTTGGATAAGCTAAAAAAACTATTAATATCANCATTTTAAGCACATCGGCCGGCTTGTTAAGCAAACAAAACAGATGGAAGGATTGCGGATTAGATAGGGGGGAGATGACCAATTAGTGATAAAGAAGCTCAAAAGCTAAAGTTTTGGATAAGCTAAAAAAACTATTAATATGAGGATAAAATCTGTGGTAGCCACAGATAGAATAAACAAACAACAAGCACCCACCCCCCAGGGGAAGNAGGATAAAATCTGTGGTAGCCACAGATAGAATAAACAAACAACAAGCACCCACCCCCCAGGGGAAGAGAGAGGGTGTGAAGGGAAAATGAAGAGAGAAGAAGGGGGGGGGAGATTCTGGATCGAGTGAGTAAAGGTTAATATGCTACAACTTCCTGTCCATGTATATCAGGCATAGAAACATCCTTATCCTCACATCTGCAAACATCAAATAAATACCCACCAAGCATAAAAAAAAGATAGATCAAGCTTGCACAAAAACATAGAGATTTTTTTTTACGAAATCTACAACGGTGCTAAAACTCACTGCTTCCCGTCTAAAACAACAAAAGTTCCAGGTCGAAGTTACATAAGCTGATGGGGTCAACTGCAACAAACTGAACTCAGATTTGTAATAATCTACACATCCAAAATCCTCATCAAGTATCCAGATGGTTAGCCACATGTCAAACACAATTCTTCAAAAGAAATATGTATAGAGAAACCTGAAAGCATAATAGTCACAAAAGGGCCAACACTGTTGAAGAATGTAAAAAAATGTAGTAGATACATAATACAGGTTTCCAACTATTTAAAGTAATTAGGAATATCCAAACCTTCCGTTGAGTCTAGGAGGGCCCAACTTCGCCAAAGCACGTTCCACTTCTTCACTAACCTGTTTAACAGCAACTGCTATATAAGACAACAGGAAGCTTGAAAACAAACAAGATCTTGCTTCAAAAAAAGTTTAACGTCAATCTTGCATGCACAAGAGTTATTTGTGAACAAGAGATACCAAAGAAAACACAAACAATAATTATTATTTTCCGCAATATACATACAAATATTGAACATGCAACAAAAGTAATTCATGGGTGGTTCATATAGAGGTCGTCTATTCTCTTTTGTTGGGTGGAGGGTGGGTTTGAAGGGTTGATAAACCCAAACCGACACAAACACACACACAGAGGGAGAGAGGTTTGGCAAGGTTGACTGATACTACTGAGTGCTTGACACGTCTACACAACTTAAAAGGTTTCACATTTTGCAAGTAATTCATGACCATCAGTTAAAGATAGCTTAGCTCATGTTCCAAGTATTGCAGCCTAATTAATAGCCCGGAAAATGGATATACGAGAAATTATATGAACTCTTTTAAATGTATGATGTAAAAAATATCCCTTCCAGACACATATCTCAAAAGTATGTTTATGATGGGTTGTGTCTAGTTAGATCTGCACCAAAACGTGTGTATGTTAACCAAAACTTGAAATACATTTTTTTAAAAACTTCATCCACAAGTCATGTAAATTGTTCCAGCATCGAAGATACCCCTTAAATTATCTAAAACTTCACTTTTTTCTAGTTTATATGTCCGTTTCGTCCACATCCAAGTTGTGAGTAGCCGTTACTGTCAAGTTGAAACATACTGATGTCATATATATATCGAAAATACTTGTCATGCCCTACTTAACCATAGATACTGGGATCGTGGATACCCAAGCGTCCCACGAACCGGGGTCACACAACCCAAAACGTGGTTGGTTCACAATCCAAATCGCTAGAATTACCAATNATATATATCGAAAATACTTGTCATGCCCTACTTAACCATAGATACTGGGATCGTGGATACCCAAGCGTCCCACGAACCAGGGTCACACAACCCAAAACGTGGTTGGTTCACAATCCAAATCGCTAGAATTACCAATTCCAAATTATAACCTGAATTTCAAAACCGATAGATACTGGGATCGTGGATACCCAAGCGTCCCACGAACCAGGGTCACACAACCCAAAACGTGGTTGGTTCACAATCCAAATCGCTAGAATTACCAATTCCAAATTATAACCTGAATTTCAAAACCGATAGATACTGGGATCGTGGATACCCAAGCGTCCCACGAACCAGGGTCACACAACCCAAAACGTGGTTGGTTCACAATCCAAATCGCTAGAATTACCAATTCCAAATTATAACCTGAATTTCAAAACCGATCTACACTCAAGGTGATTAAAAATCATAACCCTAACCATTTATTTTTTTTATTTTGGTTATTTTGATGAACTTTCAATAACATGTGATTACAACTTACTAGCTTATATTATTGAGAACTATAGTTATTAATATCGTACGATACGCGATACGTATCGTATGATACGTCACAATACATAGATAAAACGATACGAATCGAGGTTTTGTATCGTTTTTGCATAATATCGTCCAATACATGATACATTTTTACGATACGATACATATCGGTCGATACAAACGAAACGCGAAGTCTCTNAACTTACTAGCTTATATTATTGAGAACTATAGTTATTAATATCGTACGATACGCGATACGTATCGTATGATACGTCACAATACATAGGTAAAACGATACGAATCGAGGTTTTGTATCGTTTTTGCATAATATCGTCCAATACACGATACATTTTTACGATACGATACATATCGGTCGATACAAACGAAACGCGAAGTCTCTGTTTAAATTTTATTTTATTTTATTTTTTTTTTTAAAGCACCAAATTGTTCACAGCCTCAGAAAATAGAAAAAAATGCCAAAGAAAAGGCAAGAGATGAAATCAAGAATTACCCATCCATCAAACCCACAAATCAACAAAAACAACCACGAAAAGTAAATAAAATAAATTTTTGAAATTGGAAAAAATTGCAACACTAACCTGTAATTCAGATGAAACCGTAGGTTGAATTTTTACCCCAAACCTGTTAGTCTCACGATCTCTCTTCATCGCTATGAGCTGCGACCACGAGGTNATTTTATTTAAAGCACCAAATTGTTCACAGCCTCAGAAAATAGAAAAAATGCCAAAGAAATGGCAAGAGATGAAAACAAGAATTACCCATCCATCAAACCCACAAATCAACAAAAACAACCACGAAAAGCAAATAAAATAAATTTTTGAAATTGGAAAAAATAGCAACACTAACCTGTAATTCAGATGAAACCGTAGGTTGAATTTTTACCCCAAACCTGTTAGTCGCACGATCTCTCTTCATCGCTATGAGCTGCGACCACGAGGTATGTTCTTCTTTTTCTTNTTTTTTTAAAGCACCAAATTGTTCACAGCCTCAGAAAATAGAAAAAAATGCCAAAGAAAAGGCAAGAGATGAAATCAAGAATTACCCATCCATCAAACCCACAAATCAACAAAAACAACCACGAAAAGTAAATAAAATAAATTTTTGAAATTGGAAAAAATTGCAACACTAACCTGTAATTCAGATGAAACCGTAGGTTGAATTTTTACCCCAAACCTGTTAGTCTCACGATCTCTCTTCATCGCTATGAGCTGCGACCACGAGGTATGTTCTTCTTTTTCTTCTTCTTCTTCTCTCTCTCTCCGGCATCAGCATTGCCATCGCCTCTCGCCTCTCGCCTCTCGCCTCCTTCTCTGATGCCTTCGTTCATGGGTCATGAGACTCATGGACAGATATTTTATTTTATTTTTTGGTTACAAGAATGAAAAATTACATTTACTACCCTATTACACTATAACTTTTTACTTTTAAGTATAANCTCGCCTCCTTCTCTGATGCCTTCGTTCATGGGTCATGAGACTCATGGACAGATATTTTATTTTTTTTTTTGGTTATAAGAATGAAAAATTACATTTACTACCCTATTACACTATAACTTTTTACTTTTAAGTATAAATAAGTACCATTAATTTAATTTGATACCCTTCATTATTTTTTTAATATTAGTAAATTATATTGGTGACTAGAATAGTAGGTGGAATATTAATGAAATGTTATGTTTTTATGAGTCTATGATTTTTTTTCAAAAGCATATATATTTTATTATTAATTATTTAAAATTGTGTCGTATCTTACGATACACGATACGATACACCTTCCGATACGCGATTTAACAACTATGTTGAAAACCATTAGCAAATACTTTGACTTGGACTATGGTCCACTTTAAAACTCTTTATCATAAATATATAATATAAAATAACTATTAGTTAACTGTGTACATATTACAATGACAGTGATCCCAATAAAAGTTACAAAGCAAAACACAATAAAAAATAGCGTACTAACTAAACCTACCCTCGTCGCACTGCGTAAAGAAATAAGTATCGTACCATATACCCATACCTAGTACCAAATTGACAAGCAATCCACGTAACATTGTCCTGAACTTCACCTTTTTCTTTTGTTACACAGAGCACAAAGATCAACACACATCAATGACCCACCCACAGGAACACGACCTGCAGCACCTATCCCACTTCAACCACCATGACCCTTCACCAATTTCAAACTCAATTTTATACATGTCCAATCCAATTCAACCACCGCCAACACAATCCCGTCCATTGTCCATCCAAATCAAACCCAACTCATAAATTCACCAAAAAATAGAACCCATTCACATATTCACCAATTGTAAGAAGACGAGACCAACAACCACCAACTCCAAATGACATTGCATATGCATGCATGAGAGAGAGATATATAGAGAAGGGGGGAAATGTGGTGAGACTGCCTCACAAAGAAAAGTAAAAGTGGCAAGAGAGGGTGGAGAACAACAGCTAAGTGATTGATAAACGAGTCCTCATTGGATTCTGTTTTTTCTCAAATTAGAGCAAACCACCATTGCCACCCTTGCAGACAACCATCGCACCACCTAAGAATGCTCTGCAATTTAAACATGAACACTTCAATTCATCTCAAATTTCATCAAATCCAACCCGAAGTTCAATAGCAATTGGCATCAAACCAACCTTAATTTACCAACCAAACTCTATTTTTTAACATTTTCCATCAACCCCATCACAGTCGCAAATCTGTCCTATATGCATGTGCTTGGGTACTTCACATGACACTACCATAGGGATGGTGGTGGTGGAGAGGAAATTAAAATCAAAGAGTTCATAGAAGAATATGAAGTATTAGTGTCTTGAGATGTAAAAAAATATGCTTGCAGGGAACAAATATGCATCCAAAATTCTACAAACTGAGCGCCAACATTGTCCACACCAGATATAGATATTCTTTCTCTCTTTCTCTCAATGTGTGCTAGGCCAAAGAACTAAGGATAGCAATGTCCTAGATTACAACTACTGATACATGGGTATGCGCTCTCTCTCTCTCTCTCTCTCTCTCTCTCTCTCTCTGAGATAGTCATGAATGGAACAAAGGAATTAGAGGGACAAACATATAGAAAAGGAGAAAAGCAATCGACAGCGTAAAATGTGATAGACCTATTATATATGAAATATATCCCTTGGCTAATTTGGAATAACAACAATATCTATCAACTCTCTTCCGACAAATACTAACATGAGGTTTGCCTAAAGTTTAACATACAATATGGTTGTCCTTACAGATGGGCAAGGGCACGGGCACNCCCTTGGCTAATTTGGAATAACAACAATATCTATCAACTCTCTTCCGACAAATACTAACATGAGGTTTGCCTAAAGTTTAACATACAATATGGTTGTCCTTACAGATGGGCAAGGGCAAGGGCACGGGCACGGGCACTGGTGGAATGTTCCCGACATTTCCATAACGAACTTGTCTATGATCCTCCTATTAAATGATTGCGTAGCATATCTCAAGTAAACAAGCGAAACACTTCTAATGCACACATGCATCATCTTACCCTCTGCAATTTCTAAGTTTAAAACATTCTTTTCTATATGCGTAACATGCAATTCGTAACAAAAAGTGACAACGAAGAGTAGTGCTTGGAAATGCTACTTTAGCCCTAGCTCCTCTTAATAGATCAAATAAGATAAAATTATTCAAAAAAAAAAAAGGTCAAAATGGTATAGCTAATCTTCCTTTTCTTTATGATTATAATCTATCTAATAAGTTAGATAGTACTATAATAATGAACCTAGACACTTATAAAGAGCAAAACAAATGAAACCAATTAACACAAATATATCAAAAAATAGAGGTGAATTGTATAGACAAGAAATATTTATACTCTGTAAGATAAAAACTCGAATATAGACAAGACCAGAAGTAAATTGTGCAGACAAGAAATATTTATATATTGTAAGATAAAAACTATGACTACATCTTAAAGAAAAGAAAGGAGATTGTTACTATATAAATTATAGGACATATATACGTGATTAAAGAAGAAACAAAGATGACTAACCCACAGTACCATAAAAATCAGGTGAAGAGTTTATTTGACATATTCAACTAAAGCAGCTAAAAACTGTACAACCTGTTCCAGATAGCAATTTACCTGCTGGTATTTAAATGAAGAGAGTATTACAATTACATGAAGAGTCCTAATTTCAGTGCAAGAAATGATAACCCAAATAAATAAGGCGTGAAAACGTAGTAACCACTCTTCAAGCATAAACTTATAAAGTGAGTAGGTATATATCTTACAACTCTGCGAAGAATAGGTTCCAAGGATGAGCAAAGCTTTTGGAGACTGTCCACCTTCAGAGCTTCCACAATTACACTGCATAAAACAAATCCCTTTTTCAGGGAAAGAAATATGCAACCTTTTTTGCCCCATATTGATACGTAGAACAGAAATATAATAATAAACACACTATGATAAGGTCAAAGGAACAACAATTTAAAAAACCCCTAATTTTTAGGTCCATAAATCAATAATGATATATCCTCTTCCAACCAGAGCCAACTTTTTGGTCAGCAAAGTACTTAAAAATTTAAGACAACAGAGCGAAAACTGACAGAATTTTCTGGTCAACCAAATGATTAGAAATTTTTATACTGTAATAGCGAGCTAGCATCATAAGGTTAAAAATAATTTGTAAAAACTAAAAAGTAAATTCAAACAGCAAAGTAGACATGCACTTGCACAACCCACAAACATAAGATGAACGAAACAAAGACCTCCAAAGCACCCTAAAAAAAACTACCACAGAAAAAGTAATGTAACTTAATCTCTACACGAACTCAAGCTACAGTTTTCTTTTGGCAACACTACTTATGGAGATGTGCAGTGTTGACTTTGTTGCGAGTAATATGGCTGGAAAGAAATAGGTGTATTTTTTAAGATAATGAGCCTCCTTGGGAAGATTTGTGAGCAAGAATCTCTTTCTTGGCATCTCTTTGAGTATCTACGTCCAAGGACTTCAAAGGGGTTCCAATATTTTTAATGAAAGATCTTTGAGCTCAAGTTTGTGATTAGAGCTGTCACACAATTCCCTCACTTTTTTATTTTTTATTTTTCTGTATTTTTAGCCTGTTAAGCTTTCTTTTTTTTCTCTCTTCATGCATTCATTGAGAACTGCTTGTCGTCCCATATACTTATAATATTTTCTCATTTACTGTCAAAAAACAGAAAAAAGAAACAAATGAGAGACAAAAAGGCAAAAATGAAGTGGATCAAGCAAGATGATAGTAACTCTAAATTGTTTCATAAAGTTGCTAATGAAAAAAGGAAGAAAAAGTTGATTACTAGGATTGAGACCAAGTCAAGGGAATTGCTTAAGTGTGAGAATCTCATCATCTCAAAGGTTGTTAACTATTTTTCCAAGTTATATTCTTCTAAGAATATTGAAAGTCCTTGTATTGAAGGGTTGCATTGGTGTCCCATTAGTGAGAGTACGACAAGATGGCTTGAGAGACCTTTTAAGGAATATTAAATAAAATATAAAGCCTGAGTTAAGTGGTGATAAATCTCTAGACCTAGATGCTATTGAAAGTTTTTGAGTAGTTCTTTGAGAATAGTGTTGTCAATTCGTGCACTAATGCCACCTTTATCGTCTTATTCCAAAGAAAGAGACATCATTTGTGGTTAAGTANCAGATGCTATTGAAAGTTTTTGAGTAGTTCTTTGAGAATAGTGTTTTCAATTCGTGCGCTAATGCCACCTTTATCGTCTTATTCCAAAGAAAGAGACATCATTTGTGGTTAAGTACTTTCGGTCAATAAGCTTAGTTTCTGGTCTTTATAAGATTATGGCCAAAGTCTGTTCTAGGAGAAGCCAGGAAATATTACACGAAACTATTTTAGGCTCTCTAGGTGCTTTTGTTAAAGGGAGGCAAATTTTGGGTGTAGCATTTGTTCCTAATGAGATAGCTGAAGAGTACAGGGAGAAAAAAAAAAAGAAGGTCTTGTGTTCAAGGTTGACTTTGAAAAAGCTCATGATATGGTAGATTAGGATTTTTGGAGTATGACGAGTAGGAAAAGTTTTGATTTGAGATGGAGAAAGTGAACTATGGGATGTCTTAGATCACTAAATTTATGTCATTATAAATGGAGCTCCAAAATGCTGATTTAGAGCTAGTAGAGGTCTTAGGGCAAAGATTATCCCTTTCCCCTTTAATATTCAGCTTGGTGGTTGATGTTTTGTGTAGGATAATGGATAGGGTCAGTAATATAGATGTGGACGAGGGGTTTAAGATAGGGCAACAGAGAGTATAGGTAAGTCATTTGCAATTTGTAGATGATATCATCTTCTTTTATAATGGAGACGAAAAGAATGATCACTCAATTACCTTAAAATTGAAATGTTTGGGAGCCAGCAATTCATAAGACTTGATGGGCGGAAAAAAGCCTTTTTGGTCATGGGTGTGTAGACTTGTTTTAACTCACCGTGTGCTTGAGAATATTACAATTTATGTTATGTCGTTGTTAAGGCTGCCTTTGAAAGTTGAGAAAATGATGGTAGATTTTTTTGTGAGAAGGTAATGATGCAGGCAAGAAAGATCATCTAGTAAGATGGGATAAGGAAGGTCTTGCATTAGGTAGCCTAAAAGCTAGAAATATTACTTTACTTGGTAAATAGCTTTGGAGACTCCCACTGAGCACAACAAATATGGGATATATATATATGTGACAATAGGTGGGAACCTACAGTGAGTGAAAGGAGTTCTTCACTTGTCCTTGGTGTCCTTGGAAATTCAATCACACGGACTATCACTTTTTCACAAAACTGCATGTATGTTATAGATAACGGGAAAAAAGTTCACTTTTTTTTTTGGGTGGGCGAGTCTTTGTTCGCATCCTTGTTTCCTCGTTCCCTCGTTTATAGAGGTTATCTAGATCTCATTATTCATACATTGCTAGTAGGGCGTCTCTGAATTTCTTCATGATGATTGGAGCTTTAACTTTTTAAGAAACTAAAGAGATAGAGAAATGGATGAATTGTCTTCTCTTTTGGGTATTCTTGATTATATTGTTTTGAAACAAAATTCCTTGGATAGAAGAAGTTAGAACCTTTCTTCTATGGGTGAGTATTCTTGCAAATCTTTCTTTGATTCTTTAATTGATAATTCATCTCCTATATTCTATTCTTTGAACCTCCTCCTTTTATTTAGAAGAGTAAGGCACATTTGAAAGTAGAAATTTTTGCACCGTTGATTACACAGAAGAAACTAAATACTAATAAAATGCTCCAAAAAATAAGGTCATCATTTTCTCTTCAACCGCAATGGTTTATCCTTTGTAAAAAAGGTGTGGAGTGAATGGACTATTTGTTTCTTCATCGTTCTTTGTCTCAAAGCTATGGAATAGACTCTTGAGTGTTGTGGGGATCCCTGAATGATTCGTAGTAGGTATGATTTGGTGCCTAGTATGAATATTGAAGGCTTTGGTTCAAGTACCAAGGCTAAGATTCTATGGAGATGTCCAATATTGACTTTGTTTTGGGTGGTTTGGTTTGAAAGGAATGGGTGGATTTTCAAGAAAACGATGGTTCATTGGGAACATCTTTAGGGATAAAGTTTCTTTCATGGCACCTCTTTTGGTGTCCACGTCCAAGGACTTTGAACAGATTCCTTTATTTTAACTAAAGACCATTGGGCCCAAGTATGCAAATATTGCTGCCACTGATTTTTCAGTCTTCTCTTCTTATTGTAATTTTTGTTTGAAATTGTTTAGGTTTTCATTTTCTTTTTTCTTTATGTATCTATGGAGGAATCCTTGTCCACTCATGTACTACTCTCTTTTTTCACTTTTATAATACTTTATCGTTTTCTATAAATAAAAATAAAAAAAAAGTGGAAAAATGACTTTAGTATACAGGACACTTAACAAACACGACCAAATAGAAAGAAAATATAAAAGCAACCAAACAAATCCGAATATAAAATGACATGAAATGAGATAAAAATAAGTATATGGTTGCTTATAATTTAATCCAGCATATTATCCTTCACGAAGACGATATAGACCTTGGCAAAGTAGAATGGAGAAAAAGGTTCAAGTGGTCAATCCCAAATAATTGGTAAAAGGATTTGTTTGGTTTGGTGGACACGCCCATTCAGTAGCCAAGTACATACTCAAAAACCAAAAAATAATCATAATAATAATACCAATTAATACCTCCATGATGATGTCATAGAATTTTCTACTAATGGGGTAATGATTACTAATCCAAATTCCTAAAGGACCATGGAGGCTTGATAGAAGTAGCAACAACAAAAGAAATTTGCAAATGCAGATATTGCCACAAAGATGCATGAAGAAGATCAACCATTAACTTCCTTCCAAACAGAAGAGAAAAAAGATGCAAAATATTACGCTGCATTAACAGGCTCTAACAATTCTCAGACTGTGGGTCACATATACAGTTAACCGCCCAACCTTTAGAAATCTTTTGATCACTAAGCTTGCAGCCAGTTTTCAAAGACAAATGGTCAACAAAATTAACATATATGGACAGTAGAAAAACTTTGTTAGGTTTTCTTTTGTGTTTATCTTTATCCAAATCCTAGGAATACTCAAAATTATCACCACTAAAAAAAATGGAAGACATCAGAGCTTGCCAAACGATATAGATCAACATTTAATTCTGTAAAAGTTACGGCACTTCAACTTTTACTATGCAATATTTTTGAAGGATTTAGGCTCCAGTAAATTCAAATTCACCAGTAACTAACACATCCCAAACTCCAAAAGTTGGAATTGAAATCTCTAACTCCAACAATCAAGATCCCAGTTACAAACAAATTACATAGTATTAAAAACTTCAAGCAAAATGACGAATTTTCAAACCACTAGTGCTAGGAGGAGTGGACTGGCTACGTCCCTAACTTTTGACATTACTTGACAAAACAAAAAGTTTTGAGCTGAAGTGAACCATGAGAAAGTAATAAAACAGAGAAGTGAGTCAATTGAAAATTCTCTGATTCTTTTGCCAAATGTATAGCTGGTTGCAAAAGCTTTTCTAATCTTCAATCACAACGCTTGCAGCTGACTTTCGAACCCAAATTTTGTGATAGAAAACGAAAGAACAATATTAAGGTTGATGGAAAATGTAAAAGTCCATGGGAGGACAAGCAGTCCTATATAGATACATAAAGAACAATGAAAAGAAAAGCCAAAACAAGCTTAAAACAAAATCAAAGTGATGCAGTAATTCAGTGACTCTTAGAACCCAAATAAGCAACAAAACTACATCTATGTGACTCTTGCAACCCAAATAAGCAACAAAACTACATCTATGAAAAACAGAAATAGAATCACTTCGTTTTGGTTGTGTCTCTCTTT